GTCAGTGTCACTACCAAATTGCTCCCTTTGATTCATGTATCTCAGATGATGATCATCAACTATCTGAACAATATTAACTTCATTCTCTCTCACACGATACTTGTAACGTTTAGCCAGTATCACAAACACTATCAGTATGATAAGAATTAGCAAATTCATTAATGAAACCTAATATTATACAGGCATACCAAAGCATTAAAGTAGGAAAAGAAACACAACTGCACCCCAATGATTGTGAAGGCCAGTGGAGCAGTGCACCAATAATGTGATAATGGAGCATATTTACAAGAGCATACTTAGCATAGTTTGCTGGGTAAGAAAGTACATTGATGAAGCAACAGCAAGTTGGTAGTTACACTACCAACTTGCTTAGCAATAACAAACTCGCAGTATTATTTTTGCTCAATCATTCTAACAATACTGTATTAATGTCTTATCAGAGTTTGTTTCTACAAATATATTCCCAGTATGCTGACTAGAATGAGTGTTGGTATCTTCCTTGCTTTCATTGTTACAGTTTCTAAAGTAATCATATTTGTCATTGAGAGGTCTCATCCTGACATAAACAATTTTGGTACTCTGCTCTTTATTCCACAAATTACCCATGTTACTTCTTATATTCTTGCATATCCAGTATCACTGGAGTTTACATTAGCTCAGTCTCCAGTACACATGAGAGGAGTGATGGTTGGATCGTGGTATGTGGCTTCTTCTGGACTTGGCTTTCTTATTAATATTTTTGTTAAGTTTCCATTTGACGCAATACATATGTACTAGTTTCTATTATTATATAACAAAGAGTGTACTAGTTCTTATCATACTGATAGTGTTTGTGATACTGGCTAAACGTTACAAGTATCGTGTGAGAAAAAATGAAGTTAATATTGTTCAGATAGTTGATGACCATTATCAGAGATGCATTAATCAAAGAGAATAATTTGGTAGTGACATTTACATTATAACGACTAGACTATATAAGTAAATACTGGACCTTGACAAAATTAAAAACTTGTATAATGGAGATTTGAACCAGTGACTTCACATATAAGACTTCAATATTGATACTTCAAATTATTGTAACCCCTCCCCATGGCCAGACGTTTATTTGGGGATATGTGGTATCCTCTTGAGACTACAACAGCATTGTAATTTAATGAAAGTGAAGTAATGTTTTTCTTTTCAATGATGACATTTTAAACATATACATCATAGACTATGCAGTGTGTAACAAAACTAATCAACTTTCAATTACATTTTACAGTAAAAGTAATTATGGCAACCAGTTTTGCTAAGCAGCTAGCTAGAAAGTGGCAACAATTCCTTCATATTACTCCTTCAGCAATCTTGGTTCTCTTATGGAATTTTCTCATATACACTCATTATTTATTGTTTGATAGTAGTTTTAATAGTGATTTTGCTACTGAAGTTGCTACTGAACTTGCTCCTGCCAATTGGCATAGTTATGGCTTTGTCATTATAGTTTGCTTCGGCTATTGCTCTTTCCCTTTTCTTGGTCTGTTAGCTGATGTATGGATTGGAAGATACAAAGCTATACTGATTGGTATAGTATTGTTGGTTTATAGCATGGATTATATTAGGGATTGGATTTATTGTTGAAAGTTACCCTATCTCTAAAGTAACGCTGTGGACTTTTTACAGTGTTGCTTACATTATCCATATTTGTGGTTATTCTAGTTTCTATGCTAACATTATTCCATACAACATTGATCAACTTGTTGGAGCTTCATCTGATGAACTGAGTTCTGTCATATACTATCTCAACCATTTGTTTTATTCCTCTTTTACCTTCTTCAATGCTTATTTTATAGTAGTAAGTATTTTATCATGATCACTTTCATAGCATCAGGTGTATCTGTATCTCTTGTACTGGTGTCTCATTCATTCTTTAAATACAAACTGGAGAACATATCACTCATCAAGAATCCCATCAAACTCATAGTTAGAGTATTGTGTTATGCCAGGAAGCACAAGTATCCTGAGAATCGTAGTGCTCTGACCTACTGGGAGGAAGAGGCTCCTTCAAGACTAGACCTGGGTAAGGATAAATATGGTGGACCATTCACAGAGGAAGAGGTAGAAGATGTGAAAACATTATTTCGTATGCTACCATTATTCATTGGTTTTGTTACAGTTAATCTAAGTAATGATAACTATTGGTTTGCTGATAAGAGTTTTACACTACCCACTTGCTTAGCAGTAACTGGCTCTCAGTATTATTTTTGTTCAGTCATTCTAATGTTAGTTTATTTATTCTTTATCAGAGTTTGTTTCTACAAGTATATTCCCAGTATGCTGACCAGAATGAGCATTGCTATCTTCCTTGCTTTCATTGTTACAGTTTTTAAAGTGATCATATTTGTCATTGAGAGGTCTCATCCTGAAACAAACCATTTCAGCAGATTAGTCTTTATTCCACAAACTATCCAAGGCATCTCATTTATATTATTTTATCCAGTATCACTGGAGTTTACAGTAGCTCAGTCTCCAGTACACATGAGAGGAGTGATGGTTGGATTGTGGTATGTTATTGCTTGGGAGCTTGGATATCTCAATAGTAATATTGCCAAGTTTCCATTTAATTGTGAGAGTCAATACATATGTACCAGTTTCTATTATTATATAACAAAGAGTGTACTAGTTCTTATCATACTAATAGTGTTTGTGATACTGGCTAAACATCACAAGTATCGTGTGAGAGAGAATGAAGTTAATATTGTTCAGATAGTCGATGATCATTATCAGAGATACATGGAACAAGAGGAACAATATAACAGGGATAAAAATGGCAACATTCATTATTCGACTCAGTATTAAATTATTTTCTTGCAAAGTAACTATTTCTAAATTAAACTTTGCACATAAATTACAAGATATTTTAAAAGTTATTGGTCCATTTTAGGCAACAATGCACATGTATCAGGAAATATAATAAAAATTGAGAAATCTCTCCTAGCTAATTTATATGACTATAGTACTATAAATAAAAGTAAAATGAGATATGTGCGAATTATTAAACAAAGTACGTTGGTGCTTGTGGATGATTCATGTAAGACCCAATCAAGGTAAGAGATATTTTGTGATGCGTCAGACTGCTAAAGTAGTGGGTAGTCTGTCACTATATATCATTCTGCTTTAGCTTGAGAGTTCAGAGTTGAGTGATTATATGACCTTCATGTAAGTCATATGACAATTTGAATAATAGACTCGGTCCACTCCTACTGCATACTGTGCATGCATGCATATAATAAACTAAATCTATAGCTGCAATGAGCAATGGGTTGCAGCTTTTGTTATAAGATTCAAAGCTTTGTGGTTACACAATACAATGCCTAATGTATAAGAAATGTATACATACATTACATGTACATAACTACATGCATGCATGTACACAATGTAAGATGTACAAGTACATGTACACATGTACATGTGATAATTGTAGTACTCACTTCCCTATCCTTCCTATTGGAGTAAAACTCTTTAAAGTACTTGATTTCGGTCGAGATGATCCCGAAACCTTCCTTGGAAGAACCTTCAACAACTTAAACAAAGTCCTCGGAGAATCAGGTACCTCAGGAGCATACGATAGTCTCTCAGAAGGAATAGTAACAACATATTCAGGTAATTGTCACGGTAAAGAAGGGACAGTAGGATTGTACATGTATATACAGTAAGTGTGGTCAGCAAGGAAGGATGGTAACTCCAGAGGTATCACAGGCTGACCAACGTCAAGTGGCTCTTCTTTTATCTCAACATCGTCCAAGTCGACGTCCAAAGGTGTTAAATTAGAGGGAGGGAGCATGTGAAGCGACAGGTCCGGAATTAGAGAGGTATTGATGGGCGTGGTGCTGGCTTTGGGTGGAGTCGATACAATGCTCACTCCTCCTTTTTGAGTGTTAGATTGAGATTGGATAGGGACTGCTCCCGGGCTAACGAGTAATTTAGTAGAAGAAGGGGGCGTGGTCTTGACACCATGGGATGCAGCGGAGGTTGGGGGTTGTTCCTTTGCT